TAGTAAAACATGAATTATATTATTTGCTTAATTTAGAACCATTATAATTATGACTTATAAATAATATTATCATGTAAATTGTAGTATGATTCATTATAGTATATTTTTTATTTTTTTAAGGTGATACACAAGGCAACACATTTAAAAAAAAACAAGCTAGATTATATTTCAAAATACAAGATATGAGAAATTTTAAAAAATAATGATATTTTTTAATATGTATAAGAGTAGCACATGGTAAAATAGAAGTCATTTCTTATAAGTATTATCCCATTAAAATTTTAATCTCATGCTTGCCAACTATAAGGATATCTCAGGAAATAAAAAGAAGAAGTGTTTCTTAAATTTTAACTTACATGAGATAATACACTTTAAAATAACATAAGTTATTATTTATATTTTTAATACATATGAACATAATAAATTTTAAAATAAAATATTTTTTAGATTTTAATCTGCACAAATTAATAAATTAAAGAGTAAAATATGCTAGCATTCCTTTTATTTTGTTAGAATTATAAAGATTTCTTTTTTGTTTTTTAAAACTTACACTTTAGTCTCATTATTCAAGATTATAAAATTTAAATAAACATAAACATAAAGTATATCAACTAATTTATCTCTTATTCTATTAATTTTTTTTTGTAGATATGTGTTGGAAATATTATTTTTGAAAACTTACTCCTTTTTTTAAGAGGTCATTTCTTAAGAGTTGAATGTTAAAAAATATAAATTATTTTTAATATTTAAATGTATAATCATTGACTTTTTTTAAAAAAATATTCATAATAAATAAATTATTTTATATATATTTTAGAGTAAAACACCCAATTAAACAGTAAATATAAAAAGATAGTATTATTTTAAAAATAAATAACTACTTTATTTGGGATAAGATATAGTTAAAAATACCTTATATTTTTTAAAAAATAAAATATATATTTAATTTTTTTAAAAAATACTACATAAATTAGTTTGTATGACTAATAAAATTAAAATAAAAATAAAAATTTCAAAAAATATATTAAGAATAATAACTGTCAATTAATAATTAAATAGGTGAAAATGAAAACTTAAAAGTAAAAGATATATTTATATTTTACAATTCTTAACTATTAATTTTAAGGAGAATTTATATAAATTTTAAAAATAAAAAATATTTATAATTAAGATAAAATAAATAAAAAATAATATATTTTACTTTAAGAATAGAAAAATAATTTTTTAATATTTATATTTTTTATTTTTAAAAACTAAAATATTTCCGATGAACGGGGCATAAATCTAGTGAATTAAGAACGTTAGAATTTATATTGGATTTGATGCGGATGGTGCCGGTAGTGTGGCACGGTGACACTTGTTCACTTCCTCTTTGATAATTAGGATTTTGTCTGATTTAGAATGGCCCAGGGATATGACAATGGGGTTTTGGTGGGACAAGACGCGCAGCACCCAATATTTACCCAGTCACGGGTAGAGATGTCTAAAAAATTCATTGAATACAGATTAAAAAAAAAAGGGGAGTCTTTTAATTTAAAATTGATTTGGAATTTTCTGATAATAGTCTGGTGGAACTTGAGTTGAAGTTGGACGGTGAGTCTTGCTGTTCAGTTGGTCTGTTTTATAGTGTGTGTTTTTGGATAGCTCATTGACCGATTTTTTTTTTTAAAAAAAAAGTAATTTTGCAATTTAGAATCCAAACAGCAATTTTTCCAAAAAAATCGATATTTTTTTTTTACAAAGCTATCAGAGGCAGCTTTTGGGTTCAAATTACAAAAATATGGAGAAAATTATAAAGAAAGGTTCAAAAAAATTATAAAAAGGCACAAACTTTAATAAAAAAAAATCAAACTCTCTTTTTTTTTAGTAAAATTTAAATTTTAAATCCTTAAAAAAGTTATTAACATAAGTTTCTATCAACTACTATCCTCCACTTAGCACTTGCTATAAAATTAATTTAAATAAAATATTATTTGATAGAAGAAAATTAATTTAATTTAATTTAAAATTAAAGGTCATTATAAAGATTGTTGCAAAGGTACATAAAGAAAAAAAGAGATTTTATATCATTTGTTACATCGTTATATTTTTTAGGTTGCTAGAATTTCTAAGCAGTGCTTCACGTCTTCATCGAATATGGCTTATATTTGTGATGTCATTACAGATCAACTTTTACATTATCATTTTCATTAGTTATTATAAAATTGATATTTGGTATTTAAGAATACAATCTTTCTCTTTTATTAAATTTGTTTGAATTAAGATATATTAAGTTATTTATTTATGTAGATTAAAATTGTTAATATTAATATAATTTAAATTTTTATAATTAATTAGATATATAATTTAAATAATATATTTTACTTTTTAAATATTAGAAACAAGTTTATCAATAATTTAATTTTAAAAGGCAATGTTTTTTATGGTAATTTATACAGCTAAAATTAATTCTGAATAAATTATTCAAACATCTTTAATTTTGTTAAAATTAATTTTAAAAAAATAATATCCAAACAGATTGTGTTATAACACAATCAATTATAATTAAAATCTATCATTTAATCAATTATTTTTCTAATTTATTATATTCAATTAAAATTCAAACAGGTATTAATCATTCATATGTGAAAAACTCTGAAAGCATGCCTATCCACAATGTTAATCTTTTATTTTTTGGGCCAATACTATCCACTACTCCTCCAATCTTTTTTACAAGTAATTTTTATCAACTACATGAATATTAATATAAAAAAAATAAAAATATATAAAATTTTAAATATATTCTTATATAATGAACCTAAAAAATAATATTATATTTTTTTTCTTTTATAAAAAATAATTTAAAATTTTTTTTAAATATTATTTAAAAAATTATAACGTAACCTATAAATGAACTAGATGGGAGGGAGCATGATGTTAATCATGAGTACCTTTTTGACTCGTTGAAAGTCACTAGCTAGAGCAGCTGTTTCCTACGCTCCTGGTGATTGACATGTCAAGACTTGAAAGAGTATTATTGATGAATGTGACATAAAATAACTGTACAATTTATGACTTTTTACCTTCTTATCCAAGCGGAAAAGGGATGATTTTAAAGAAAAGCCAAGAACATGATATCAAGAATCATAGGATATATATGTTAAAAAAAAAAATTAATCTTTAAATTTCTTAATTTTTAACTCACTTATAATTTAATTTTTTAATTATAATTTATCATGACTCAGTCCCTCAACTATAACTCGTTGCGACTCAATTCCTCAACTTTTGATTCACCTATAATTCGATCCTTATTTTTTAATTTTTTTAAAAATTTTTTATCAAATAAGAGGGATAAAAAAAATGCTCATATATTATTCTAAAATACCCTCCTCTTACTCATTAATGTGAGATCTAAGCTAACATGCAAAAAAAACTAACAAAAATTGAGGGACTAAATTGTAAGTAATTCAAAAGTTGAGGGACTGAGTCATAGGCGACTCATAGTTGAGGGACTGAGTCACAGTGAGTCATAGTTGAAGGACTGAATTATAAATGAATTAAAAGTTAAATGATTAAAAAATTAATTTTTTTTTTTAAATTATCGGATGTATATACATATAAATTGAAAAAGAACGTTTTTGTTATTTATGCATGCACTTAATTGTGTAGTGTTTCTTAATTTGTTCAGGGTTTTTAAGCTGTTGACAATTGAATTGGAAAGGGAAATCCGTACGACTTGGCTTATGGAGTTTCCTCTCTAGATTTCTCCTGATATTGTTTTCTAACTTCAAAATCGCATCTTCTTTAGTAAATTAGTAACTTCATTCTAATTCATCTTCCCAGAACGCTTAATGCAACAACTTGACACGGTTAGTTTCATTGTTGACTCTCTTGTTTCTCCTTTTAGTTTTCTTTCAGGATTTTTGTGGTGCACCGTGTGCAAATGCATGCAATCACGCTCACGCATCATGTATGTTAATACCGCAAGGGTTAGTCAGAGTGTACATGCAGATCAAGACCGATTAGATACTGAGACAAAACAGGGGCAGAAGAAAATAACCAAGAAATCATTTGAATTTAAAATTGCTCGTTAAACAAGCATTTTCTATGATCATAATGTGATTTTTTAAGAAAACAGTGATGTGATTTAATAGGCAGAATATAATCCAAATGCAAAAAAAAACAAATATAAATCAGAATTGTTTTTAGAGTGTGAATGCCTATAAATAAAGGAAGCGCAGTTAACGTACGTGAACTAAATCAATGGAAAGTGGAACCAAATTAAACTGGCAAATCTCTGGTCCATCGTGGTTTATAGGAGTCAGCTAAGGATGAAGGGTAATTCTTATCAGTTAGTTAAGCGTACTTGTATTTCCGTCAGCTAGTTTGCTAACTTATTTGCTGCCATTTCACTCTTGGCTCATCTATATATAAAGTAAACACATTAAGCACCAATGAGCAATCAAGTTACTCTATTGCGCCGTTGTGATATGGTTATAAGCTTTAGTGCGTGCTTGGTGTTTATCTGAGCATTTTCAAGTTCATTTCCCCGGTAATAGGTTCGTTGCTATGTTGGACATCCTCCCTAAGAACCAATCAGAGTTAAAAAAAAAAGAAGAAGAAATAATGGAATCCGCAGATGTTGGGATAGCAGAATCCTAGTTTGAAGGATTCTGACCGAGACAAGTCCAGGAGGAAGCATTCTAGCTGGTCCATATGTCTGCCATTGCCAATATTCTAAGCTGATACTTAGATTATCAGAATATTGTGCATGTGATACTAATTAAGATGATATTCGTTAATACAGGTAATAACGCATTTGTTTGTTGGCATCATGCGAATCGCTTTCTTTTATTAAATTATTTTTCACCTTTATTTAATATATTTTGCATTCATTAAGGTAGTTAGGTAACAAGATGACAGGAACCTTATGCAGCGATGACAGGCCAACTTGGTTTAAAAGGAAGAGCCTTGTGCCTTTCAGGGGCAGGAAAGGATAAGCACTGGACACGTACGGACACACGGTGGTAAGAACGTCCCATCTCTTCAACATACAGCATCTTAGAATCCATTGCTTTGTATGAATTCAGGATAGCCTCCAATTACTATATGTTCTTCAAGGAGACACACAACATAAAATATATTTTTTAAAACAAAGGCAGTTTAAATCTATCTCATCAATATATATATATATATATATGTATATATTTGTATGCTTATTCAAGAGACCCAGAAAGACGTGGAAATGGAGCTTAAATCATGTTTAATTTCCTGCAGCTTCGTGACTGTATTGATGTTCTCTGTTAGTTCCTTGCTGGCAAGTATATATATATATGTGTAGAGAGAGACAGAGTAGCCGATTTGGTTCTCTTTTAGCTGGAAGCAGCTGGTGAATCCGTGACAGCACCGGCCATGATTAAGGCCGTGCAAGGCTGATCGCTAGGTACCTGCATTAACATACAGATAGTGCACCAAGAATCCAATAGAATTACTAAGCTTCTATCGCGGTAGCTGTTAAAGGCTATTATATATATATATATATTAATCAATGACTAACCATATGGCCGGCACCAAGAATCAAATAGAAACGAAGGTTTTTGTATGACTTGACGAAACCTTTGGTCTTTTTGTCACTTCCACAGTAGAGTGGTGTTCTTTCTTTCCCCAAGAAATTTGGAAGCCCTTCCCACCTATTTTTTTTTTTAATTTTTAATTAAATGAAGCCTTTTGCTAAATTTCTTTTGGAAAAAGAAGCTGGGAAGAAGAAAAGAAGAGTTACTTGAGCTTCCTGAGCCAGGCTTCAACTCCCTTGGTTGCACAAATGACATCAAGCTACAAGGACCACACATGTTTAATTTTGCCAGTATTGTGATCGACCCTAAACGATAGGTATATATGAAGACAAAAAACATCACGTAACATCATTCAGCGGTGTTTATTCAAGAAAACGGGCCCATTCATCCAATTAAATTAATTCGCTGACACACAATTAAGTGGAATTTCCAGCCATCGCCCTCAGGCCTCAATTATGAGAAACACACTACTAAGAGTTGTGTGGAGAGACTTACTTGTCCATTGTACACATTCACGTTCACTCCCTTCGCGAGCAGCTCGTCCACCTGGCAGAATACAATGTGTCAATTATTTTCCAGAAAGGTTTAGGCTGTGATAGATAACGTCATCTAATCTTGTGTAATTCCTAATTTACTACTGACATCGACGCGGTAATCATTATATACAATGAAATCCAATTTTCTGTACATAACCTGCGCATTTTCCAAAAACACGATTTTTTTTTTTAAGAAAAAACTGAATTCGCATTCCATATTGGACGAGGAAACTTCTATAATAGAGCAAATCATCGAAGAGTTTTCTTTTCTTTTCTTTTTTTTTTTAAATATTGGAGAACTCACAGATAAAATAAGTCAGGAAGGATTTATGTGCTTATCACAGGTACCTCGGCAATTCTTGGTTTCATGAAATCAACCTCAAAACTATCAAACACAGCATCTGACTGAAATTGCCATCTGTCATCACCACAGTTGCTAGCCGGTCATGGGTTTTAAATTTGATTCCTGGAGCGTGAAATAGCAAGAGACTTAAAACTCACATAACATTATTCGGGATAATCCCCAGCTTTTCCTTGATCTCTCCATTCAACAACTTCACAATCTCTTTATCCCCGCCACTTAATGAAGACAAATATTTGGAGTAGCGTCTGTGTCGGGTTCCTTTGGCTGAGCTTATCCCCGCTGGTGATAAAGATGCTGACTCATCCTCCCAAGAATCTAACAGAAAATTGTAAATATCCTGGAATGAAACCATGTTAACTTCTTCCCCGAAAAAAATAATAGTCTTAACGATAATATTACAAAGCTAACTTGGTTTCGGGGATAAAACGTTGAGTAAAAATTACAGTACCACACTGTTGCTGCTATTAAAAATCTCGGTCTCAAGTTCGCGCCATGAATCAGTTGCATTAACAAAAAGGCCATCCTGGAGTTGCTTCTTGATCTTCTGAGCTATACTGTTAATGGGCTTTGTTAGATAATCGAGAAATTCTTAAAGAATCAGACTATGCTTTTCTCTTAGATTTTTGTTGGATCTAAGAAGATGGAAATAGTAGGAGAAGGACCTGTTGGATCTTCGAAGCCCGTTTTCGTCAAGTCGTGAGACGTCTTTGAGCAGGGGACCCCATGAGAACTGCAATGTCAATGAAACAATGAAAATGCGAGTCTCAATATAATGGTGAGCACTGAGCAGAGTATTGATTCAAGCAGATACCACGAAATCTTCAGGTGAGATCCAGCTATTCCCTAATGCCACACCTGCACAGGACATTTCCATTTAGAATCATGTTAACAGATCATTCATCTCATTTATGAAGCTAAAGGGCTTTCAAGGAGGGATGATAACCTCCAAGCTTGACAAACAATTTGCCCGCTTCAATGGCTTTAAGAGCAAATAATCCAAGGGTAACTGCAAACTTTCCACCGCAAGACTCTCCCACAATGTAGAGAGGACTCTTTTGGAGGCTTTCATTCTTGTTGAAAATATCAATCAGCAAAGTAGTCAAGTCAGTGGCTGCTTCCTCATCTGTTTTCACGAGGAGTTCGTTATGCTCCACGTAACTGTACCCAGTTCCAACTGGATTATCCTGTATTTTACTCGTCGAAATGAACCAACAATTTAAACAGAAAAGCTAGTAACTATAGTTCTTTCATTATGGCTGGGTTAATTACCACAAACAGGAGATCTGCTTTTCGCAACCATGTGGAATTTCTTGGCTTCAACTTGACGTCTAGAGGTCCAACCTCTTCAAAGTTTCCGTAGCCAATTCCTGAAGCGCCCTGGTTCGACATTCACACAAGCTCAGAAATTTTGGGGGGCGAAGGGACCTCCGTTTTTATGCATGATCAATTTTATAACGCACACATAATATAAAGACAAAATCTGGGCTTCTCTGTGTTAGTTTGGCCTTCGTTTAGCAATACTCACAGGTCCTCCCTGCAACCAGAGAATGATTGGCCATGGCTTGGATGGATTTTCTACTCGGTAAGGACTTTTGTAAAGCCACCAGAACATGTGGGCTTCTGTGGTAACAATCCAAAGAACAATTGAGTGCATCTACAGCATTCTCATGAAAGTTATCTCTTTGAAATATGATAAAATGATTGCAGATTATAGAATTATAAAACATCCAGCTTACTGGATCTGACTTCAACATATCCCCATTCCTCTAATCCATCATGGCCCCTCAAAGCTGCCACTGTTGTTCCAAGAAATGGCAGTCCAAAGACAAGAGAAGTGACGATAAGAGCACGCAGCTTGTCCATGGTCGATGCTGAATACAACTGCGGGGCTGAATAGGTGTATAGTATTAGTAATGACAGGTAATTTCAAGTTTTTTTTTTTGCAGGAAATAAAATATTTAATACATTAGAGTCGAGTTATATTTGACTAGAAGTTAAATAACAGCGAATTATTTGACAGATAAGCTAAACCAATTGTCAAATTGTCAAAGATAAAGTATAAAGGCAGCACCTCAATTTAGACTTTAAGAAATATATAATTCTTCAACTCTCACATTGCACCAAAAGAAAATCATCACAGATAATTAGTGGATGGGCAAATGGAGATTCAAATCTATATAAGAGTGACCTCAGGGAAGATTAACTTCCATACTGAAATTATGAAAGATGGGCATTAAAAATATCTAAATTAACTACTGAGAAAAATAAAAAAAATGATTATTGAAAATATTAAAGAGAACCATTGAAAAAAAAAAAGAATTTCAACTAAGGGCCATAGTCTATTTATGAAGTTTTATAATTTTAGAGTCTTTAATTATAATTACTATTTCTAGAAGGACTTTAAATGTGATTTTCTCATATTTGGGAGATTTGGAAGGACAAAAAACATACAAGAATATGCAACACTATTATTCTCCCTTGAGTCTGAGCGGCATCGTGTATGTACGATCATGATGTCATTTGTATAGGTTATAGCGAGGGAAAACAAAAAGAGAAGAGGGGCCAATAGTTGTCTGTTTTATTGTCATCCATGGACTCATGGCTTTAATTTGTGTGGATACTCCTGCAAGTAGCAGAGATAAGCAAGGGGGCAGAAAGTTCATAACTCACGTGCGTAAAAGGAGATTGTGGTTGAGATGTGATAACAAAAGCATTGCTAAATGGAATTAGTTCATTTTAGGTGTATGCTTTACGGTTTACGGTACTGCATGGAGATGTGAGTTTACAAGATGGCTCATATTAATGTCGCAATTTTTTGCGGTTGCAATCTACGATGGCAACAAAGATCTGTCGTTGTTTCCTTTTCCATAAATCTGGATGCTCCTGCATTATCCGGTTCGAGATGGGTTTCCCTTTTAATCCCTGTCGTCACACCCATATCAACATTTACTATTTGGACCGTTCTATCAACTTCTACTTTTATTGCTGCCATCAAGGGTTTTCATCTTTTAAATATCACACGTTTATTAACCACAGAATTTATCTCCCATAATGCTGTTGGGTTTAGGGTGAGCAAAACTCAATTAAATCAAATTAAATTTTATTTATTTGATTCAATTTTTTGGTTCAATTTAATTTTCTTTTAATGAAAATTTCAGTTAATTGATTCGATTCGGTTTGAAAATTCTTGAACCAAATAAACTGTACCAACTGAATTATATATATTTTTTTATATTTTTAAAAATGTGAATAAATTTTCATTTAGGTAAGTAAAAAATATTTTTTTTACTACCCTTATAGTAGTAGTATTTTTTTTGGTTTAATATGATGTTCTAATTTTTTTTATTTCCATAATTTAATTTTTAATGTCATAATATTGAGTCTCATTAATTTTCTCATAAATTGTGATATAAAATTATTATTTTTTTGTTGGGCTTTCAACATCAATAGATAAAAATTAGATAAAAAAATATATAAATAATTAAATTTCATAAATCAAATTAAATCATTATAATTCAATTCAGTTTTAATTTTGTTAGATTATGTATTTCGTTTCGGTTCGATCTAAATTTTTTATATATTTCAATTGATTGGTTTTAAGAAAATTAAAATCAAAACAACAAATGCTCACCCCTAAGGCTGCATTCAGCTTTCTGTAGTTTCAAAATATAAAGGACGAGGAGGAACACACAAGACATGGCATTTCACAAAATTTCCTCGCATGGCTTGGGTTATTTATTTGCTTGCTGAATCTCATTTATTTTTGCTGCGAGCTTTCCTGTTCTACAATAGTTATTTTGTGATGAGTTTGTCATAGCACACTTGCTGGGCCCCCTTAAATCCGTCCATGCCCATTTTGTTGCATACACTCCCTCTAGCCTGTGATCCTTCTCATAAAAAACAAGTAACTAATTCATCAGGATTAATAATCAAGAAATGCGGTTAAAATTTCTTTCTAAAAATACCCCCAGTTAATTGGTCGGTAGTTTTTTACACATTAATAAATACTCTTTTTAATGAGAGCAAAGAATAATAATAATAATAATAATTAAAAATACACAAGAAAAGGCATTCCACAAATTTTCCTCCCGAGGGTTGAGTTATTTCAAAGCTTGCCGAGTGCTCAGTATTGTTTTTATTTGCCTGCTGAATCTCCTTTATTTTTGTTGCGAGCTTTCCTGTTTTACATTACTTACTTTGTGGTGAGTTTGTAATGGAGGCCACCATATCCAATGCCACGCAGGGTTGATCAGTGGGTACCTGCAGAAGCCAGCAAACAAATAGTAAGACAAAACCGAGAACAAACATTGACACTTCATTTTCTGATTCTCTAAGGACACGCAGCATTGGAGAAGAAAATTTGGCCATGCAGTCCACAACTAAGTGGAATCTCAGGAAGCTCTTAACCGATATCATAAAACGAAATCATGGGATCTGCAGGTGTTTGGCTTTTCATAGCAGCATCACACCCCATTTCCGCCATGGCTTCATTCTGAATTTTTTAGGGTATCCAAGTTTGACAGCATATGCTTGGATGCTTAGAGCGTGTAATCCTATCATGATCTTCATTAATGTAAATGTATTGGAGTAAGTGACGGATTCACAGTGGGGCAAGCAGGGGCACAATTTTTTTTTTTTCAAAAAATTGTTTCATTTTTACTTGAAAAAAAATGCTAAAACTAACCTTTGCGCCTCCACAATTATATGATTTATTATTTTGGCCCCCCCAGAGAGTCATTTTGGGATCCATCCCCCACGCTTTCGTTAATTAACTTTTCACTTTTTTAAGGAAAAGGAAAAGGTATTTACCTTCATGGAGGGAAGTAATAAAATTATGAGAAACATGAAAAGAAGAACCGTGCATTTATGCTTGTCTGAGAAAAACAACACAAGAAGTATGATGATGTGTACTCACAAAATGGCCGGCACCAAGGATCCAATAAAAGGACAAGTTTTTGTATGACTTGAGAAAGCCTTTAGTACTTTTGTTATTTCCACAGTAAAGAGGTGTTCTGTCTTTGTTCATGAAATTTTGAAGCCCTTCCCACCTACAACAGAGGCGTGAAACTATATTTATCAGAAATAACAAAAACGTCTCGGGATATTAAATTATGGAGAAAAAGGGACTTACTTGAGTTTCCTGAGCCATGCTTCAGTCCCCTTAGTGGCACAAATGAGGTCAACCTATGATAATTACAGACAGATTATTTGGCTATAATGAAATAAAAATAATAAAAGATGCTCATTTGATTGAACGTGATTCTGTAGTGAAGGTAAAAACAAGATAGTCACAATTATCAAGTTTTAAAAGACTCTGCTTTCATTGGTTGAGCTCTGCATTATTTCAAAGATAGACAGCATGGACAATAATTAAGGTTGACCATTACATAATGGCACATCTAAATATAAATCCTTTGCTATCATTAATTCTAGTAATATATTAATAGCCAAAGTATTGAGCGGGGAAAATATCTTACTTGTCCGTTGTACACAGTCACATTGACTCCCTTGGCTAGCAACTCATCTACCTGAGCAACTTCAACTTAAACACGTCATATCCCAAGAAAGAGAAAAACGAAAAAAAAAAAATTAAACTTTTGAAAATCCAGAGAGTAAAATGCTCAGCTGTAACAATTCTCTGTATTATTTACCTCAGTTCTATTAATTAGAGTAAACTGATGCTTAAGTCAGAGATCCCATATGTTTATCTTCTTACCTCATTAATTCTTGGCTTCATAAAATCGCCTTCCAGGTATGTGAAAACATCACCAGATTGCCCTCCCCATCTGTCAACATGTATGGAATACTTGGGAATAAAGATGGAAACTATTTAAAGCTTGATTTATGGGTTCATCAAAAAGTAAATCAAATCATGTGATATCATATAGTAGATGACAACAAAGACGAATTGATTCCCATAAAGTTGGAATAATGAAGTGAGAAAACAGCAATGGCTTTGCGGGGAAAAATTACTAAAGTAGACTTACGTGACATTCTCAGGAATTATTTTCAACTTCTTCTTTATGACACCATTTAGTAAGGTGTCAAGATCAGCATCCCCACCCGGAGATGCCCTCCTTAAGGTAAGATACTTGGAGTACTGGCCCATTGCTATTTCTCTCGATAATCCCAACTTCATTGCTAATAATGTTGCTGAATCACTTCCCGAATCCAACAGAAAATTGTAAAAGTCCTGAAATTACCCCAAAAAAATCCCGAGACATTTAAGTGAGACATTATCGTATGAACTACTTAAGTAATCGCTAAAAGGTAAACAAGAGAACTTAATTCTACCACATTGTTGCTGCTAGAGCTAATGACGGACTCAAGTTCACTCCACGAGTTAGTTGCATCAACGAATTGGCCATCCTCTAGCTGCTGCTTGATCTTCTGAGCTATACTGTTGTCCAAAATGGTCTTGTTAGATATAATTGAGACGTTGGTATAATCTGTTTCAGAAGATGGAAGGGAATTGAGACACAACAACTTGCCTATTTGATTTTTGCATGCCGTTATCGTCAAGGCGAGAGACATCTTTCAGAAGAGGACCCCACGAGAACTGCAATGTGGGTTTAGGTGAAAAGTTGAAAAACAAGAACTTGAAAAGTAAAACTGACAGCTAAGAAGCGAGAACCATTCAAGTATTTACCACAAAATCTTCAGGGGAGATCCAACTGTCTCCTAATGCCACTCCTGCGGAAAGGACGCAAAGATAGTATCAATGAGCTGATCTCATTCATGTAAAACTGCACAGGGGTCAATTACTTGTATTACCTCCAAGGATAAGCTTCAATGTCTTGGCTTCAATGGCCATTAGTGCGGATAGTGCAAGAGTAACAGCGAATTTCCCACCATAAGACTCTGCTACGATGTACAGAGGACTGCGTTGAAGGCTTTTAGTCTCATTGAATACCTCGATCAACAATGTAGTCAAGTCAGTGGCTGCTTCATCATCTGTTTTAACGAATAACTTTTGATCCTCCACGTAACTATATCCTGTTCCAACTGGATTGTCCTATATTATATTGTAACAGCAAAGCATTCAGTGCTACTAGATAATCAAGGAATTGCTAAAGGGGAAAACAATCTGAAATCATACCACAAACAGGAGATCTGCTTTTCTCAACCAAGTGGAATTCCGGGGCTCCAAATTAGCGTCCAACGGCCCAACCTCCTCGAAATTTCCAATACCAACTCCTGAAGCACCCTGTTCTATGCTTACATTTCTCAGACTCTGGATTCTTCTGCTTGTTTGTTCGGTTTATAGCAAATTAAAGTAATACTTACAGGTCCCCCCTGCAACCAGAGGATGATCGGCCATGGCTTGGAGGGATCTTCAACTCTATATGGACTTCTGTAAAGCCACCAGAACATGTGGGCTTCTGTGATAGGACATCCCAAAGTGAAAAAACAAAGCAATCGAACTTTGTCAACAACAGAGATGCAACTTCGCAGCTACGAGTCAAAAAACATATTGTGAAATTACAGAGTTGTAATGGATTTGGCTTACTGGGTCTGACTTGTACGTATCCCCATTCCTCTGATCCGTCTTGAGTTTTCAAGGCTATCACTGGTCCGCCGTGAGATAGCAGAGGAAGACATAGAAGAGTGACAAGAAGAACGCAGTGATTTTCCATTTGAAGGATAGAAGGCAATGGCAGCGAATCTGTAAAATGAACGGCAACAAAGGAGATAGCGAATTAAAAGGAGCAGGTCAAGCATGGGGCACAGCGTTGGCAGTTTGTGCAATGCAAACAACAAAAAGATGAGACTGATTAGAATCTGATTGACGCAGAAGGAACAAATGAGGGGTCAATTAATGGCCGTTTCGTTTTCAGGCCAGAGTAGCTTTGCCGGCAAGGTTTTATTTCTAAGCGGCTCTTTCGTAAAATTAAAAAAGCAAAATAAAAGCTGTAGTTACTTTCTTTACGTTACAAAAACCAACACGTGGATTAAAAAAAATCCTTTCTTTGGAATACAATGCGATAGAGACATTACAAGGAAAAGACTGAGAAATGATATGATAGGCTGTTAGTGATTAACAGTATTGAAGTTAAGGATTCATCAACCTATCATAAATATGGAGCATGAAAGTTCTAGGAAGCCAAGTTGTTTAAAAATCATAAATCCTATGAATCTTATTTGATTTGTTTGAAATTCTGTGTAAAGACCAAAGATACAGAGCTAACTTGTAGATGGACCCCAAAAAAAAAAGAACGAGGGAAGATGGGAAAGGAAGCTAGTGACCAGGATGGGGATTGAAAGATGAGGCAGTGTGGCGCTGAAGCTGATAGGTTGCGTGTAGAAAACTTGGTTTGAAGAAAGGGACGTGTCTTGGAAATACTCTGTAGATGTAGTTGATCTGTCTCTCTCCTTCATCTGGTAGCTTTTAGTGATAAGCATAGGAAAAATTATATTTTGATCTCACGGGAGGATGTTTATTACTGTAAAATCTCATAAATCTTATAAAATATTTTTAAATCTTAAATCCTACTGGCAGTTTGATCAAGGGCATTGAATGTAATTTTTCCATAAGTATAATAAAATATAACGATGATAATATTATACAGTTGAAAACGCGAACACGGATGATAGGATGTCAGGGATACTGGGGCCTTGGGTACTGATTTTGTGCGGTTATGTTGAGAGGGATAGGAGTGGTCTCTGTTCTGCACAGCGGGGAAGTGCATATGCCATAGGGTATGTGGAGAGGTAATTCGTATATGTCGCATTGTGCACTCACTCTTACTTACCCCTCCACTTTTTTCTTTTAACAAAAATCATAATTATGGGCATGAAAAAATAACTAATGATGGAAGACACAAAATCTTGAAATTAAATTTAACGACTATAGTTTTTTTACGGTTAAAAAATAGTCTTTTGAATAAAAGATCATTTACATTCAGTAAATAATTATGCATTTTAAATAAGTTTGTTTTAATAAAAAAGATTATTTTTTAAAAATTGTAAAAAAGGACTATGATCCTTAAATTTAATTTTATAATTTGTTATTAGTTTTTTGAGGTTTTTAACTGTAATTTTTCCTTTTTTGGGGGGCAAGTTGGCATATATTCCAAAAAAGGAGGGAACTTCCCATTAAATACCTTCCTCTCCCCATGTGGGTGCGTGCATACACCATTGTCTATTGTATTAAAAACTGTGTTCATTTGGTTGGTTGAATTGTTAAGTATTTGTTTTGATTGATTCAACGATACATTTTGTTTATAGTCAATCTGATCATGCTTCAACAATAATTTCAATTATTAACCTTCAAATTAATATTTTAATTAGTTCAATAACTAATCTGATTTTAAGTATCTTAATATATATTGTCTATCCTATTTATAAAGTAACTTCTAAAAAAAATTATCTTTATAATGCAATGTTACTATATATCATATGATGGCTTACCATTTTTATCTTCCAATACTTTTATTTATTGATCTCGAAAGTTGTGGATAAAAGTTGATAATAGTAAAAATTAAAAAAAAATTGATTTTTTTGAGACAGATTTAATACGTAACAAGGGTGAAAAGCATGAAACACTTTACACGGGTGTGTTTTCATAAACCCGAGAATTCAATTTTTGATAAAAAAATTCAACTGAAGTTTAATGCTGTGCGAGTATGAAACAACAGTTTTAGTCTAGACTAACGCCATTTATAGTCTGCATGAGAATGTTGGTATGAAGGGGGTAAGAGTTAAAGATCTCTCTCTCTCTCTCTCTCTCTCTCTCTCTCTGCGCGATGGCGCGCGTGCGTTCATTTAGTATGAAACGAAACTCTATATCTTACTTCACATCTAAATATTTGATACTGAAAATGTTCCAAACAGGGTTGCGTTTGTGTGGGGTTGTTGAACATTCTTAACATTAACTATTGTATTTCTTTTTAGGGCTGATATATATTTTTATCTTTAAATTATTTTTTGAAAAGGATTTAGTGTCTTCAACCATTTGTTGTAGCAATCTTATATTTAAAATAGTCAACACATATCATATTTGCCCCTGACATTAAATGCATTAATATTAATCGTTAAAGATACTAACTAGAATTTAAATTTGATTGAAAATGACATCTATCATTTCAAGTGAATCCAAGTTCATATGCATTTTTCATACATTTTAATTACTTTAAGAGTGAAATTGCTACAATACCAATTATTTATGACATGGGATGCTTCTTTAAGAATAGTTGCAAGGCAAAAATGTACCTAAATTTAGATCTATTTGGTATGATAGGTGTTAAGTTATCTAAGTATGAGTAAACGTAAAATGATATGGAATAAAGTTGGACTTTAGGTTTTGAATTAAAACATGATATCATTCCACTAATCTTGCCTGTCTCTCTTCTCTTCCATTTACAGGGGTCGCTCCACATTCCCTACCACTTATGATATTAGTTATTATAGATCCTTCTTTTTTATTTTATAAATATATATGTATATATATATATATAATTATTAATTCTGATTTTATTCGATGTGAAACTTCTCACATCAACTTACATTTATGTATATTTGGACAACCTAACAACATATAGCATTTTTTTTTATCAAAATTAATTTTCAATGATTAATGTTGGGATATTTAATATTAGGACCTCAAGGGCAAATAAACTATACTTTAATTACTTTTGAAGTGAAATTACCATAGCAAATAGTTTATGACATTGAGTGCTTTTTAGATAATAAGCTCAAAGGCAAAAATATATCTTAACCACTTTTTTTTTATTTATACTACAAGACACTCTCAACATGTATCGTGAATTAATATTAATAATTCATTTTTAATTTTGTAAAAGTTGACTTGCTTTTTTTTTTTTTAAATTTCTTTAGTTCTGATCTTATTCACAACTACTATCCACAATTTTCATACATAATTACTTAGTGCTTATTAACCAACACCTAGATACAAGTAAAAATGATATATATACATATATATGTTTAAGAACTACAAAGTATCTTACATCTTGGACGAATTATAACTTACTAAAAATATCTTATGTCATGGATAAAAGGGGTACAGTGCCATTTAAGGCTCCATATGGTATTGGTTGGTCATCGCACGCCCAAATTCTAACATTTATTTCGCTTGCTCTGGAAAATTTATGGCGGCAAAACAGAAACCTCACTAATCATTATTCACATAAAAATCACTGACGGCTGAATAATCGTCCAATGTGATTACTTTACTAGTTGGCTGCGGAACCTAACACGCTATATTTGTGCCTTTCACGTTCTTTGTTCTCTTTATTATTCAAAAATAAAAATTCAATGCATTGCCCCTTTGTTTTCTTTTTCCTTTTGTGAGAAGGGGATCATTCAGCTTGTCAAATTAAAAGGAAAAGAAAAAGGAAAGCCAGGCGCAGTCTAGAGAATGTGAATTCGCTGCAGCTTAGAAAGGAGAAAGAAATTTAGTACGCAGTTAATGAATGTCTTTTTCTCGGATATGTTTGTATGGTGAAAAATCCAACGGTCATAACAAAACAAGACGGAGATATATATTACATACAAGGGCGACGGCTGTGGTTAATTAGGAGGCTTGTTTATGAATGAGGCACAGTTAAGCAGCGATAAGGGATCCCATGGTGACGTCCAATCAAAGGAGGATATAGCAATTAATCGGTCCTGATAATGCAGAAAGTGGTGAGGACTGGGGAAGCCAATGAGGGTGGGTGGAGATTAGAAACATGTGTTTGGTCATCATTGATTTGCTGTCATTGTCAATCACATGCTTTTGAGAATAATGTTCTCCAACAAAGAATGATGACGTGCTACTTTGTGTTCGGCCCCACGACCCAAAGAAAAGGGCCAGGGTTAATAATAATAAATCGGCTCTGTCTAAATTCAAATGCCAAATTAAAACTCCTTCATGTCTGGCCCTCTGGGAGACAAATAAAGCAATAAACTGATAATCAAAGCCATTCCTGTTTGTATTTGAATATGTTTTTGGGCCTTTGATAAGTTGATGGGTACTTGGACACGAACTTGATCCCGCAACAGGTAGGCCTTCCACCCTCCGCCTCCACTTTCAACCCTTGTCCGGTTGGTGAGAAGTGGCTTTTTTTATAAAAAAAACAGGAACAAAATGGGACCCAGAAAGGAATCCCAAATAAAAATGCAAATGTATTTACCAAAAAAAAAAAAAAAGCAAATGTAAGCATGTGTATGATGCAACTAGATCCATTGTAATTCCACAATGCTCCCTTCACGTAACCTCTCTCTGCACCCTAGCCATGCCCACTCCAAGAAAAGAAGCTAATTAACCTGTTAGCTCAGAGTTCAAAGAAGATTAAAAATGCAGGTGATAACACAAGCAAGAATATCCTGCAAGGTCACCAGCCATCATTTGGTTCCAAAGCTACTGAATTGTCTTCTAGTAAACCAACTTTTGCTGATAGACTTAATGATATTGACAAAAAGGAAGAGTCTTCAGATGATGAACATGAGGAAAATGGCAACTCTGAAGATGAAAAGGGTAACGAGAAAGCTTCAGACCTAATGGAACCACACTTATCTACTGTTGAAGACCTAAAGAATAACTGTCCTACTTTTGTGTTCTATAAAAGCTTAGGAAGAGGCTCTACAAAGCACGGAAGAAAGCTGTTACTTGTCATGCTACTAGGTAGGTCCATTGGCTTCAAAGCCCTCGAATCAAGATTGCAATTGATGTGGGTAAAGAAAGGGGTTGTCCATCTCATTAACATTGGCTATGGCTATTGTGTTAGAAATTGTGCCCTAAAGTTAATCATTATATTATGCACTTTGTTATTTAATGAATTTCTTTTTTGTTATCATATCAATTGCATGTTCACTATGATAACTGT